ACCCACGTTTCAGCATTACTCTCTTTACCGGTTTAGGTAAATTGATTTTGCCGACTTCAGAATCTTTCGCGGGAACCACAAATGTAAACGCTATAGACTTGTCCCGAAAAGGAAAGTGCTTAAGATACCTCGCTGTGTCGTATGTGTTCTGATCAGCTTGACCTGTGATCCGTGGTCCATCGGGCCAGAACTGCAGTATGAAGTGCATCTTCGAATCGAATCCGAAGAATCGAACTAGCGACCTCCCACCTGGAGGAGTTGGCCGCTCAGCCAGACTGCTAAGCTGACTGGGTTGAAACTTGAATGTGGATTCTCAAGATGAGCACTTCACCCACCCCATCACGGAATTCTCCATTCTCCACTCCCCGAAGGCCTCGCTGTGTGTCGTGCACCATCTCTGGCATTACTGTAATTAGCACTTTGTTGGTCATGTCGGGGCAGAGGAGCTCGGCGAAAGGAGAATTGAACGGGCGCATGCGCCAGTACTCGAAAGCCAGGAACACATCATGAGCGCATCGGACCGGAAAAAGAGACTGTATGCATTTATGATAGGGGGGGAAGATGGTAGGGTAGGGCAGGGGTAAACTAAGAGAAAACCCTAGCGCATTTTGAACAGGACCTGGCTTGTTGGTTGGAAACATGAGCGAGAAAGAGGAAGAGAGGCACGCCAAACTTTCTCTCCCCCCTCCCCTCCCCCCTCCCCTCCAAGAAAAAAACCTCTCCCCATTGACATCATGAGAGTATGGGAAAGGGACGAGGAGCGCGCAGGGTAATTATAAGCAGCAAACCAACATAGTAGTAATAGTATTTCTACGTCGGATCCTCAGATACTATATGGGAAGAGTCTTTTATAAAAAAAAAAAACAGTTCCCCCCCCCCCCCCCCCCAAAAAAAAAAGAAAAAAAGAAAAAAGAAAAGAAAGGAGTCAATTCACAATCTTTACTATGATGATATGATGATATCGATCAATACATCACAAATCGCTTTGTTTTGTATTTTTTTGAGTTCACGAAATGGAGGCTACGCTGTATAACTGCGGGCATGGAGGGAATGGCCTGCAATTGCTACAGTGCAGCTGCTTGCACGGAGCGAATGGCTGTATAGCTTGTGGGCACGGAGGGAATGTCCATATAACTGCGTGCACGGAGCCCCCAACATTATTTCATCCATCTGGATTTGAACTCTTGACCTGTTTGATCAATAGTCAGGTGTGTAACATACATACACAGGCAGGTGAAAAAAAAAGAAGAAAAGAAAACACGCACACACACGCAGGTACAGGAAGCTGTACTTGTCCGTCTTTCTTCCCCGTCTCCCTTTCCTCCCTCTCTCTCTCTCTCTCGCCGCATTCTGTGGAGCACTCATATTCCAGTACGGTCGGGACATGCATTATCCAACTGGCAACTTGATCTCGATTCCTGTTTAAGTCCGCGTACTCACACCTGGGCTGTGCTGCATGTATCTGACTCGATTTCCGGGTATAGTATGAAAAAAAGTACGATTCTGGGTGTGCCCTCGGGTTCCATCTACTGCTCGTCTTCTTCCGTTTTTTTTTTTTTTTTTTTTTTTTTTTTCGGAAAGGGCGAGATATCATCATCGAACTGACCGGCTCCAGGAAATTCAGAATGATTTTATTCTGTTGTCATCTGATAGGAGTAGCTGGATTCGAGCTTGAGTCTGTCCAGGGGGGGTGTACCAACTGAGCTAGGCCGGTTGACTTCCCCCGTCAGTTTCGCTTTCGCGCTCATCTTCTTTTATATTCGCCCCTCCCTCCCCCAGTTCTCTCCCCCCCCATACTCTCTTCCTTTCCCCCCTTGAAAGAGGAGAAAGATCGTCTTCGGTGGCTCAAAGCCGCGTTCGTTGTTCTCCGGTCCTTTTTCTTCTTTTTCTTCCTGGCCATGCCTCTACCCTTTGGCTATTTTTAGCTTCCGTCGAAGCCTCCACACCCATCTGTATCGCGATTGGTCTTCGTGGGTGGTTCATTTTTTTTCGTGGCACAAACCCATCTTTCTCCTCTGGATTGGTCTTTCGTGGTTCATTTCTTCCGTCGAAGCCTCCAGACCCATCTGTACCGCGATCGCCTTCAGTTCCGGCGTACTGGCGGCAACCCATCTTTCTCCGCGATCGCCTTCAGTTCCGGCAATCTGTACCGCGATCGCCTTCAGTTCCGGCGTACTGGCGGCAACCCATCTTTCTCCTCTGTACGGAATGCATCTTTTGAAGATTTTAAGGACTCCGGTTGGAGAAGAGCGATATGGGCCGCGCGGGATGTTTGCGAGGAGGTGTATAATACTGTGTGGCAACTGGCGTTCTCATACTCTCTATGTCTCTCATTCTGTCTGCCACTCCGTCATCGCCCTCCCCCTGCCTTGTCCTCCCGCCTGATCCCGGGACCTCTCTCTCTCTCTCTCTGTGTCTGGTCCTCGAGAGGCAAGATGCGTGAAAGGAAGAGGCAAGAAGTGTGAGTTGGCCGGGATCAAAAGATACGACAACGATTCAGAGAGAAACTGGGGTGATTTGGAGTGTGCATGCGCTGGAAGTTGTAGTTCTTTTTGCCTTGTCATGTTGGCCACTACTGTTTTGCATTGTCCATATTCCGAACGTTGCACGCAAGCAGCATCAGCGGAGCGCTGAGCAACTGCACTTATTCTGATGCAAAAGACAATGAATTTGCCCGGGTTCGCCCGCTCTTTCAGTGAGTGCTTGACAGGTCCACTTCAGGTTGACTTTCCTTTTCTTTATCTCTGTCTGGATTTTGTGTTTCTGCAGTGTGAAAACGTTTGTTCTGTTGTCGTTTGGGGCATCCGTTAAAGTCGGAAATATACAGAGAAGAGTAGCATTAGCATGGCCCCTGCGCAAGGATGACACACAAATGGAGAATGGTCCAAAAAGTTTGTTGTGTTCGAAAGTACATTCGATGATAATGAAAATAGATGAAAAATTGAAGAAAAAAAAAAAAAAAAAAAAAGATGAGCACTCTGAAACTATTCATTTTTCTAATTCTTCTTTTAACTCCCCCTTCACCGTGCATTCCACATACAAGGCTCACCACGTTGATGAAGTTGTGCGCGAGCTGCCTGCATCCCCGTGTGCCATGATGGGCCACTTGTACGCTGTGAGAAAGAGGCAGAGTAAAGGGGGAGGTGATAAACACAAGGAAGAGAGATGAAGACAAGAGAAACGAAGAACGAAAAAGAGAAAGTAAGGATAAGAAAAAAACGCTCAAGAATGAGTCTATTGGCAGTGTATCTTTCTGTGTGCAAGCAGAAAATGCACATATCTGGAGAGTAGCGGATCGATCCCCTACACAACGGACAAACACATTCCACGTGTCCACAAAGGAGCTGACTGAGACTCTTCTGCCCCTCGTTTGTTGTCCTCTTCTCCCTCTCTGCCTACGGTTTACCGGGCAGTTCTATTTGTGACGATATATATATATCGTCAAATAGAACTGCCCGGTAAACCGTAGGCAGAGAGGGAGAAGAGGACAACAAACGAGGGGCTNAGAGAGAGAGAGAGAGAGAGAGAGAGAGAGAGAGAGAGAGAGAGAGAGAGAGAGAGAGAGAGAGAGAGAGAGAGAGATCTTTGTTTTCTAAATCCCATTTTTCATCTGGTCCCCTGAGTCTTCTCCCTGAGATGCATTCCCACTTTGTCGGCCCCCCATTCGCGTACATGGTCACTTTCGTCCTGTGGGGCCGTAATTTCGTATTAGCTATGGATATTGCCAGTGTGTTGCTGACCTGTATTAACACGTCACTGCGGTCTTTCCCCAGAGAGAACATATGGTCATTATAGCTGTGGTGATGACCGTGCTTTCTCTTTGGAGCAGACGGTAGATAGAAATATAATCCTAGTTTTGATATGTGCCTTCATATAGCCGGGTTACTGATTTCATCCATCCATTGGCAGGTTCGATGGGTGGAGGTACACAGCCTGTCACACCCTTTGGTTCCCTGTGAGATTCGGGACAGTCAACGTACAGTCTGTCACAGCCTTTTCCTCTCTTTGCCGCCAGTATGTACACACTCTGTACGGACTGTCCTATGAAAGGTGTGGAGCCCTGATTGGACTGTGTGAAGCAAAAGCTGCAACCTTTAAGTATGCCCTGGGCTGGTTTCTCTGTGGGCGTTGCTTTTTGACCGCAAGGCTTGTTTGCCTGTCTGTTGCCGGGGTAATTGCGGTGCAGTGCGTTTTGTGAACTGCCTCTATCCCCTTCAGCATTCACTTCGTCAGTGTACTCTATTGGCTTTGTGAGTTGCAGTCGGTGTTGTGCACTGCCTGTGTGCTTCAGCATTCGCTTCATCAGTTGCAGTGCGTTTGGTGAACTGCCTCTATCCCCTTCAGCATTCACTTCGTCAGTTACTCTCAACGTTTTGTTTGCCTCCTTGGATTTCTACATGCCCATGTTGTTGTACTCCATGTTCTCCTTTATCGGACCTCTTTGTGCTGTGCCTTTGTACTTCTGCATCGTCCTGGTGCTGCCTCCCTGTTTTTCTACACAGTCACTGGTCTGCTTGGCGGCTGTCACCTCACTCTTGAACTTTTCCACTTTGCTCAAGGCCACTTGTACCCATCGTCACTGGTGTTGCTAGTTCTGTATCTGCTTCCTCTGATCATACAACACCCACGGTGACCTCGTGCTCAAGGCCACTTATTCCCATCGTCCCTCGCTTTTCTCCGTTTCCGTTGCTTGCTCGAGTCCACTGCGCTGTCATGTACTGGCGCTCGGTACGGACTCGCTAGCTCATGGTAAGGCTGCACACAAATGCAATCAAGCTCCATCTTCTGATGAGCAAAATGAGTGCTATCATCAGGATATGAGGTGCTTTAATGAAGACGGAAGCGTGATAGTGATTGGTGAGGAGAATGTGGTATTGGTTGGGCAAGTGGATTTGCTTTGCGAGATTATGTTCACTTCCTTCTGACGGGTTGCTTGTGTCCTTCCGTTTGACAATGGTTGGTTTTGCTTGCTTTACCTGCAGGACAACTCTGTTTCAACGACGAAGTATTCTCTCCTGACTTTCCTCCCGAAGGGGTTGTTTGAGCAGGTGAGTAGCCAGTTCAAACCCTGAAGTATTCGCTTTGTGGGCTCCATTGTGTGGATGGAGGGGCAATGCAACATGGTGTGGATGGAGTGATGTCTGTCAGTCACCATTGAAACATTAGTTAATCCCCAGACAAACAAATAAAGGCAGAAGGTTCTCTGGAGATACTGGCCAGCCACACTTATTTTTTCTCCTTCGCTTTCAGTCCTCGCTTGCCACACTTCTCCTCTTTTCCTTTGCTTTTGCAAACCATCAAGTTTGTAGGTCCTCGTGGCCTTCTCTTTCTGCTCGCCTGTGTAGCTTGTGGCTATTCAGCCTTTGGAGAAGGGAGATTTCAGAGCAGTTTTGTCTGGAAAACTCGAGCATTGGCATGGGGAATGTTTTGGCAGATTCATGTTAATGGCCCCTTTGTGGAAATGGTTCTGTTGAAGCTATACATAAAGTGGGGCACTTGTCTGTGTCGTGAACCCTTGTCTTCTTCCTAATTATGGTTTTTGTGAGGATAGGCGGAAAGAGGATAAGATGCTAAATTGTTTTCATTATAAAGAAGAGTGCAAGATGGAAATCCCTGTACTTGTGAGTACCCATCCACCCTTGGTCTCCAACAGGGCTACGGTCTTCTGGTATGCCATTTGGATTGCTTACCGTCCAGCTCTGATGGCATCATCTGAGAACAGAAGTTCATATTCACTTTCCCTGCGCCAAGGAGAAGAAGAAATGTGACAGGTAAGGAGAAGAAGAAATGTGACAGGAAAGGAGAAGAAGAAATGTGACAGGTAAAAAAAAAAAAAAAAAAAAGAAATGTGACAGGTAAGGAGAAGAAGAAATGTGACAGGTAAGGAGAAGAAGAAATGTGACAGGTGAAATCCATCGGGGTTGCTGCACTGATGTGTTGTTTGCTGTCTAATAGGTCAACCAGGCTGTGGGAAGCCGGTCGACTTTCTGTGTTGCTTTTCTTATGTATGATTTAAGAGAACACTTCCGGTCACCCTAGAATGTAGAGGTTGTAAAGAGGGCGGAGCTGCTGCTCTCGTGGGAAATAAGGAAGGTATATAAGACACTGAGGTAGATTTGACGGTAAAAATAGCAGGGACATGGTCGTGCTCAAGAGGTTGATGAGCGAAAAATGTGGAAACTAAACGCCTTTGTTGAGTTGATCGTGTATGTTTTGCCCTTTCTTGTGCCTTGCGTGTGGTGGTGATGTGCAGTTTCGACGAGTTGCCAACTTTTATTTCCTCATCATTGCTGTATTGTCAACAACACCGATCAGGTACTTTTGTCTGCTTACCCCTGATAGTGCAGCCAAGGACACGATATACCCACCGGCTTCCACGTGTTTCCCTGCGCACATATACACGTACCTTTCATCTCACCCAGTCTTCAGGGGTGATTGTGCAGAGTATCCTTTTGTATCACCCAGTCTGTGCACTGGAGTCCTGTTTGTTTCTTGAGAGAGAGAGTTGTGCTGAGTGCAGTGCGGGGCTTTTTGACGTGTTTTGCAGTCATCTTGTACCTGATTGGCAGACGTATCTAATTGTCGATTAGCAGTTTGCGAGTCCAAACCTCCATCCATAAAGTAATGCTGATGGCTTATCCCCCCGCGCCCTTATGCTTTTAGCAATCTTTTGCACACCATCCGTTTTGCCAGGGTCTCAGGATGGGTTATACCATGGTACCATGGGTTCAACGGAATATGTCAATCACCTGGTACCGATGGTCAACTTTTCGCCAGAGGTCTTGATCTCTTGCTTTGCCAGGTTGATTGTATGCATGGCCTTGGCTGCCCCTGCTGTTATGAAGGTGGGAAAACAGCTTGAACTTCAGCGTTGGGTGTGTGCTCTATCTGCAAATATTCTGGGACATATGTTTGAGCGAGATATCCTGGACCAGGTTCTAGCTGCATCTAAGTTTGCGTTGCAGTTCATGGTGTGTTCACAGAGCCAGTGATTGATTCCTGGGTCTGTTCCATCGCGAGGAAAAAAAGAGATGTGGGTTTGCCCATTCGGCAAGTGGTCTTCTTGGTAACTAGTGGTTGTGTGATTGATGACAGTGTTTGATAACACCCTTCCGGCCTCAAGCTCTCTGCTCTCCTGCTGCCCAGGGTGATAATGCTGTAATGCTGCTCAGCTCTCTCTCCCTCTCTCTCCCTCTCTCTCCCTCTCTCTCCCTCTCTCTCCCTCTCTCTCCCTCTCTCCCCCAAGCTTCCTTTCCCTTCAGAAAGGCAAGGCTAACGTCAAGGAGGGTTGGAAGATGCTTGGGGGGGTTGGGGGGGGAGGGGGGGAGGGATGGGGGCAAGGGGGAGTGTTGAGGAGGGTTCAGCCCGTCCCGAACGCCGGCAACCCTGGGCCGAAGAATGTTGTCTCGACCTTGAGACAAAAGTTGTTCAATTTACTTTCAGAGAAGTTTTAAATTTCATTTTTTCTTTTGTAAGGATGTTCCTGGCCCTCGCCGTCCGAAAGATGCTTTGCGTGCAAGGAGGGGAAGGGGAACTGATTGGGCGAGTTATGAAATGCTTTGCATGCAAAGGAGAAAAACTGAGGGTGCTGGAGGGTCTCACAAGGTGATTTACATGCAAGAGGGGATAGTGGGGGAGAGTTGTTGAGAGTCGGCAGGCTTGCAATAATATGACCAGATGCATTACAGGCATGGTGAGGGAGGGGTGTGAATGCTGTACACTTGAAGGTGGAGAGAGAGAGAGAGGGGTGTTGGCAGATGATTTACATGCTGGAGGGAGCTGTTCAGGGGGAAGAAGAGTGCCGAGGTGTATTACAAGGGGTGGATGTGGAGGAAAGGGTGAGGGAGTGTTGAGGGGGGTCGTCACATGCAAAGGGAAGTCAGGGAGTGAGACAACATTCAAGGGGGTCACAAGGTGCATTCCACTCGAGAGGGAGTCATGGACGGGGGAGTAAAGGGGATTCCAAGAGCCTTTGTCTCAAAGAGTGGTGGGGGTGCCAAGTGAAATCACAAGATGCTTTGCAGACAAGGGGTGGGGTTGAGCGATGGACTTGTCGAGGAGTCTTGTGACGTGCCATTTTCACAAGGGGAGAAGATGGAGTGTGGATACAGAGCGCGCTCATGTGTGTGT